GAAGATTAGCATGGCCCCTGCGCAAGGATGACACGCAAAATCGTGAAGCGTTCCACATTTTTTGTTTTATATTTACGTAAAAAATATAATTTAATATTTAAATGTTTAAATGAAATATAAATCTATTTTCTCGTAACTTAAAAGAATTATAAAATATTATTTAAAAAAAATAAATAAATGAAATATATATAAATTTTTAATATATACTTTAATTATTTAGATTAATTATAATTTTTTAAAAGTAGAAATAAGTAAATAGGAAAAACATAACAAATTTTTTTTAAAGAAATAAAAATTTTTAGTATATTAATATACTACTTGATTTTTATTATATATTTAATTTTTTAATACAAATTACTTTTTTTTATATTTTCAATTTATTTAATTTTTATTTATTTATAAATATATTTATTATTTATTTTTATATTTAACATATTCTATTACTTCATATTATTATTAACATATTAAATAAAAATTTTCTTAATGTATGTACATTTAAATATTTCAAATGTGAATAAGAAAAATTTCATTTTGTATATATGTTTTTTAGTTTATTTTTTATATAATATATTTATATGAAGTAAATAAAAAATTTAAGATCCGATTCTAAAAATTAAAACAAATATATGGATCTATATATAAAAATCATCAGTTTTTTTTTAAACATAAAGAATTTAATTTTAACATTAAATGAAATAGAGATAAAAAAATCATGTCTCATCGTGATTGATTGTTGTCTAATTTTATTTAATGCAAAAATAAATTGTTTATAATTTGAAAAATAAATTTCATTGGATATACTATTACATATCAAAAATTTATGTCTTCATTTGTTTTAATCTTTAGAATTATATTTTAAATTTTTTATTTATTCGAAATTTTTTTAAATAAATATTGATAACTATTTCATCAAATTATGTTAAAAAGATGGTTTTATTAAACAAAAAAAATCCGCTCATGTTACGATTTCATCGTAATCAATTTAATTTTATGTAATATTTAACATATAACAATAAAAGAAATCTTATAGCAAAAAGAAAAAATATTATTAATAAAATATTTATAAGTTATATTAAACAGTAATTTAAAAACTAATTTAAATACATATATAGTCTGTTTTTTAAGTACCGGTTGTATCATATGTAAATGATTTATAATTTAAATACAAAATGAAGATACAATGGTTATCAAATTTTATATTAGCCGGTATTATTAGATTTTTATTAATGAATTCTGAATATCAAAAAATCATTAGTGATCGTGTGGAAGTTTCTACTGCATTGAATTCTTGGAAGAGAGGTTAGAATAAATGTCAAATATATTTAATATTAAGATTGAGAGAATTTTTATTGTGAATTTTTATTATTTTTATTATAAATTACATAGATTATATATATATATATATATATATGTGTGTATATTCATATTATATCATATATTATATCATATTATATCATATATTTATATTTATGATAACAATTATTATTCTTTTAATTAATTTTTAGTAACTGAAGGAATCTATTTATATAACTTTGGCATTGATCCTTATATGGGAGATTTATTTCATGAAACACCCATTGGACTATATGTTTTTAATTTCATACAACAACATTTATCACAGTCAATATTATTTTGTTTATTTGTGTTCACTGATTTATTAACAGCATTATTTCTTGGACTTACAGCAAAACAGTATGCAACTGAATTGGTTAGTTAAATTTCAATATTATCAAATATTTAAAATATGATTTTTATTTTATTGGAATTATATTTTAATTCTAGGTTTTTAAAAAAAAGGAAAAAGAAAAATTATGTAATGAAAAAACAGAAAGCCATAATAATGCTTCAATAGTATATACTTCAATAATGTATGTCTCAGCAGGATATCTATTTAATCCATATATAATACTTAATTGTGTAGGACATACAACAACAGTATTTACAAATTTATTATATTCCATAGCATTAATTTCAATGACAAAATCTTCTATATTTTGGAGTTGTTTATCAATTTCTTTATTAACATTACAAGGACTTTATCCTATTTCACTTATAGTACCAGCAATTATTTATATTGCTCGTTCTGATAGTATAAAACAAAAAAGAAATATTTTTAATTTTATTATAGTATTTATAAGCACATTAATTGGTCTATTTTATATTTCCTATTATATTATGGGAAATTGGTCATTTATTTGGAATACATTTGGCTTTATTTTAACAGTTCCTGATTTACGTCCAAATATTGGACTATATTGGTACTTTTTTACAGAAGTATTTGAGCATTTTAGATGGCTTTTCATTGCTTCTTTTCAAATAAATGTCAGTTTACTATATATAGTACCATTAGCATTGAGGTTACGACATGATCCAATGTTACTAGCATTTTCTTACTTAGCAGTTATTGCTATATTTAAATCGTATCCTTGTATAGGAGATGTTGGATTTTATATGTCACTTTTACCACTTTGGAAACATTTATTTCAATGTAAGTATATTGCTTATTTAAATATAAAATATTACAATATTTGTAAAAATGATTTTTTTTTTACAGATACGCAACAAGGATTTATTGTAGGTTGTTTTATGCTATTTTGCACAATTTTTGCACCTACTGTTTGGTATCAATGGATTTATTCCAGATCAGCTAATGCAAACTTTTACTTTGGAGTTACATTAGCATTTGCTATAGCACAAATTTTTTTAGTAACAGATATTCTTTTCGCAAGTGTAAAACATGAATTTGCTATGCGTCATGGTATTAATAAGGACATTAATGGAAGTAATACAAAGCTTCTTTTAGAATAAAATTGTATTTTAAAAAATTTGATATTAAAATTATTAATTGAAATTTTATAAATGTGGTTTTCAACTTGTTAACCAAATCATTTCTAAATAAAAAACTCTTTTTATCATAGAAATACAAATGAATTAATTTTAATCCCATCAAATTGATTTTATATTGTCAATATAAATATAATATATGTCTTAAAGATATATAATATAATAATAATGATGAATATTAATCATAATGAAATGATTAATTATTAAATGATTAATTATATTTAAAGATATTCATAAATGAAGTAATAAGTTAATTTGTTTTCATCAGATTACAAATTAAATGTTCATATAAATTATTATATTTTAAAAAAAATTTAATGTTTAATAGTAAAATGATAATATAATTTTAAAAAATTTTTAAAAATTATATTACATTATAATTTTAAATAATGATAATATAATTTAAAAAAAAGTAAAAATTTATTTATTTATTTATATTTATTTTAATTTGAATATTTTAATTATGTAATTTGTATTAAAGATATAAGCAATTAGGCCTGAACCTGCTAATTAACTTCCTTCTCATTGATTAATTTCCTCATTTTAATAAACTTAAAATATATTGTAAAGATTATTATTTTAAACATTATTTAAGTTTTTCCTTTATGCATAACTTAAAGATAATAAAGATTGGTTTTAATTTTCAAATTATTCGCAAAAAACTTTTGGGATTATATTGAATTCTATCTACACATATGCATTCGTAAAATACATGTAACAATATGCGATTATCACTTCTTAACTCTTTGTATAAACACAATATAAAAAATAAATATCATTATCTATTCATGACGAGTTTAAACATTCGAATTTTTCTGAATGATTCATGGATTGCAAAAATAGAATATAAAATAATTATTGAAGAAATATTAAATAATTAAGGAATTATATATATATATAAATCATAAAAAAAATTTTGAAAAAGATCTTGTTCAAATCCATAAGTAAGGAGATTTTCGATAAATTTACTCGTTATGTACATACAGCTGCCTAAATTGCAGTAAAACATATATATATATTATCACGAATATACATATATAAAAACAAAATTTAATAGTTAGAGTATTTGATTATATTATTTTTCACAGTTTTTTGTAAAAATTAAAATTGATCGCTTTAGAAAAAAATATTTAAAAATAAAGTGCTTTACAATATATTTCATTAAAAAATTTATTAAAATCATATAATAAAGGAAAAATTAATTAGCAGATTGACTTAATATTTAAATAATTTATTTATTTATTATACATTTATATAGTAATATAAAATAATATAATATAAAATATAATAAAATAATATAAAATATAAAAATTTAAATAAAAAAAGGATAATTATTCGAAATAGGGGATCATTGATTTTTAAATATTCATATCATTGATTTTGATTTTTAAATATATTAAAAGATTTTAAAGAATTTTTTTCTTTACATATT